TACAAATAGACAAATTAGGAAAACAATACATAAACCAAATGAGAAGCTCAACAGAGAGAGAGAGAGAGAAATCATAAAAGCAAAACAACAAAATCCAAAAAAAAAAAACATTCTGGAGCTGAAGATTATAATGGAATGAACAAAAATGCAAGAAGAACATCAACAGCAGGCTTTAATGATACAGAAGAAAGAATCTGTGAACTTGAGAACAGGTCATTTGTTATTATCCAGTCAGAGGAGAATAAAGAAAAAAGAATGAAAAACAGTGAAGAAATCCTATGTGAATTATGGGATACCATTAAGTGAAACAATATATGTACTATGAGAGTACCAAAAGAGAGAAAGGGGGCAGAAAGCTTATGTAAAGAAATAATGACTAGAGAGATCAAGATGGTGGAGTAGGAGGATGCTAAGCTTGTCTCCCCTCCATGAACACATCAAAAAAATATATATATATATACATGTGGAGCAATTCTCACTGAAAACAAACTGTAGACTGGCAGAAAGACTATAAAGGCGATAAAGAAACCAAGGCTATAAAGAAAGAGCCACACAAAGTCAGGTAGGAAGGAAAGAGAAGTGATCATGTCAGGACCTGCACCCCTGGGAGGGGACACAGAAGGGGGGTATTACACAGGCCTGGAGATACTTCCTGGGAAGTGAGTGGTTCAAACCACATATGGGATGTGCCAGACCTTGAGTCCAATACCAGGAAGATAAGTCCCCTTGGCTTGTTTGAGGACCAGTAAGACTGGTAGGGGGGCTGTGAGAAACTTGGACTGCACTTGTGAAGTGCAAGCACATGCTTCTTTGTTCCCCAAACAAGGCTGAGTAAGCAGTTTGAGACTGCCTGGGACTCTGGCCAGTTTCCCATGACACCCCACCATGCACCCTGGCCCACACTGAGTGCCCACTCTGGCCCCTCTTGCTCTGTGGGGCAGCATCCCACTAGGATGAAGGTTGCTGCTGCCAGGGGGAATGTGCAGTTGTGGAGGATGGAGCTGGCTTATACCTGGCACTACATCTGAATGGGTTTGGAGTGGCCCTTCCTGGCACTCTTGGAGGCAGATCAGGAGTGGTCTGGAACTCTGAATGGTATATGGGACCACTCCAGTACAGGCCCTGGCCTGCACTGGGTGCCTGATCTGGCCCCTCTTGCTCCAACTCTGCTTCCATCTGGAGCTAAGGTATCAATGCTGGGTGGAGTGAGGAGCACACACTTAGAACAGAACCAGCTTGGATCCAAACCTCAGGGCCTCTTCTTTAGCACCTTGAGACCTGAAGCCACCCTCAATAGGGTGGTGTCAGGCACTGAACATAGGAGAAGCCCCAGCTCACACCTGGCTCTGGCTCTAGCTCTGCCATCTCTGTGGCCCACCTCAGTGATAGCTGTCAGCATACCCTGGGGGAAGACATGACTCGTGTTCTCTCATCAAAAGCCACTAGACACACACAGACTGTAGATGGACACACCCACATAAGGACACCCCTTCAAGACCAGGATGGGTAACTCTTACATCTAATTTCATAGAAATAGAGAAACTTATCGAAAATGAAAAGACAGGAATTTGTTTCAAATGCAAGAATAAGAAAAAACCTCTGCACACATCCTGAGCTGACATGTCAGTGCATCCATTTCTCACCAGGATCTCTACCTGAATCACCAGGTAAAAGGCCTCTGCCCACAACACATTATAAACAAGTGAAACTAGACAGAGCACAAAGGAAAACAAAAGCTTTGTAGGGTCTGAGGACAAGAAGGCAGAGTAGAAGGACCTGAGCTCACCTGCTCTCATGAAAACACCCAAATCACAACTAACTGCTGCACAACCATCAATAAAAGAGACTCGAACCTACTGAAAATGATATTCTACTTCCAAAGACAAAGAAGAAGCAGCAACAAGATGGGGGCAGACACCAGAAGCAGCAGCAACTAAATTCCTGCAGCCTGTGGGACTACAAACACATAAAGTTAGACGAAATGAATGGCAGAGGAATATGTTCCAGATGAAGGAACAAGATAAAACCCCAGAAGAACAAGTGAAACAGAGATAGGCCATCTACCTAAAAAAATAATTCAGAGAAATGATAGTAAAGATGATCCAAGATCTCAGAAAAAGAATGGAGGCACAGACCAAGAAGACATAAGAAATGCTTAACAAAGAGCTAGATGATATAAAAAACAGAGTTGAACAATACAATAACTGAAATGAAAAATGCACCAGAAGGAATCAATAGGAAAATAAATGAGGCAGAAGAACAGGTAAGTGAGCTGGAAGAAAGAATTGTGGAAAGCATTACCGTGGAACAGAATAAAGAAAAAAGAATGAAAAGAAATTAGGACACTTTAAGAGACATCTGGGACAACATCAAATTCACCAACATTCACATTATGGGGCTCCCAGAAGGCGAAGAGGGAGAGAAAAGGCCTGAGAAAATACATGAAGAGATAATAGCTGAAAACTTCCCTAACATCGGAAAGGAAACAGTCACCCAAGTTCAGGAAGCACAGAGAGTCCCAGGCAGGATAAACCCAAGGAGGAACACACTGAGGAACATATTAATCAAATTGACAAAAATTAAAGACAAAGAGACAATATTAAAGCAACAAGGGAAAAGCAACAAACAACATACAAGGAAATTCCCATATCAACTGATTTCTCAGCAGAAACTCTGTGGGTCGGAAAGGAGTGGCATGATATATTTCAAGTGATAAAAGGGAAAAGCCTACAACCAAGAATACTCTACCCAGCAAGGCTCTCATTCAGATTTGACAAAGAAATCAAAAGCTTTACAGACAAGCAAAAGCTAAAAGAATTCAGCACCACTAGACCAGCTTTGTAACAAATGCTAAAGGAACTTCTCTAGAAGGAAAGGAAAGGTCACAACTAGAAACAAGAAAATTACAAATGGGAAGGCTCACCAGTAAAGGCAAACATAAATGTAGTAGATCATCCACACACAAATATGATATCAAAACCACCAATTGTGAGAAGAGGAGAGTACAAATGTAGGATATTGGATGTGCATTTGAAATTAAGAGACCAGCAACTTAAAACAGTTGTGTATATATATAGACTGCTACATCAGAAACTCATGGTAACCACAAACCAAAAGTCTACAATAGATGTACACACAAAAAAGAAAATGCAATACAAACACAACACTAAAGATAGTCATCAAATCACAATAGAACAAAAGAGGAAGGGAAGAAAAAAGACCCACGAAAACAAGTCCAAAACAATGAATAAAATGGCAATAAGAACATACATATCAATAATTACCTGAAATGTAAACAGATTAAACCAAAAACATAGACTGGCTGAATGCATACAAAAACAACACCCATATATGTGCTGTCTAAAAGAGACACACTTCAGATCTAGGGACACATACAGAATGAAAGTGAGGGGATGGAAAAAGGTATTTCATGCAAATGAAAATCAAAAGAAAGCTGGAGTAGCAATACTGATATCAGACAAAATAGACCTTAAAAAAAAAGACTGTTACAAGAGACAAAGAAGGACACCACATAATGATCAAACAATTCATCCAAGAAGAAGATATAGCAATTGTAAATATATATGCACCCAACATAGGAGCACCTCAATATATAAGGCAAATGCTAACAGCCATAAAAGGAGAAATTGACAGTAACACAATAATAGTGAGGGGCTTTAATACCCCATTTACATCAAGGGACAGATCATCCAGACAGAAAATCAATAAGGAAACACAGGCCTTAAATGACACATTAGATCAGATGGACTTAATTGATATTTATAGAGCATTCCATCCAAAAGCAGCACAATACACCTTCTCAAGTGCACATAGAACATTCTCCAGGATAGAGCACATGCTGGGCCACAAAGCAAGTCTCAGTAAATTTAAGAAAATTGAAATCATATCTAGCACCTTGCCTGACCACAACACTATGAGATTAGAAATCAACTACAAGAAAACAATTGTAAACACAAACATGTGGAGGCTAAACAATATATTACTAAACAACCACTGGATCACTGAAGAAATCAAACAGGAAATAAAAAATACCTAGAGACAAATGAAAACGAAAACAGGATGATCCAAAACATATGAAATGTGGCAAAAGCAGTTCTAAGAGGGAACTTTATAGCAATACAATCTTACCTCAGGAAATAAGAAAAATCAAAAATAAGCAACCCAACCTTATACCTAAGCAACTAGAGAAAGAACAAATAAAACCTAGAGTTAGCTGAAAGAAAGAAATCATAAAAATCAGAGCGGAAATAAAAGAAATAGAGATGAAGAAAACAATAGAAAACATCAATGAAACTAAAGGCTGGTTCTTTGAAAAAATAAGCAAAATTGATAAACCTTGAGCCAGACTCATCAAGATAAAAAGGGAGAGGGCTCAAATCAATAAAGTTAGAAATGAAAAAGGAGAAGTTACAACTAACACCACAGAATTACAAAGGATTATAAGACACCACTACAAGAAACTATATGCCAATAAAATGGACAATCTAGAAGAAATGGAAAAATTTCTAGAAAGGTACAATATCCCAAATCTGAACCAGGAAGAAATAGAAAGTATAAACAGACCAATCACAAGTACTGAAATTGAAACTCCCAATGAACAAAAGTACAGGACCAGATGGCTTCACAGGCGAATTCTATCAAACATTTAGAGAAGAGTTAACACTGATCCTTCTGAAACTATTTCAAAAAACTGCAGAGGAAGAAACACTCCTTAACTCATTCTATGAGGCCATCATTCTGATACCAGTACCAGACAAAGATACTGAAAAAAAAAAAAAAGAGAATAAAGACCAATATCACTGATGAACATAGACGTAAAAGTCCTCAACAAAATACTTGCAAACCGAATCCAACAGTGCATTAAAAGGATTATGCACCATGTAAAGGGGAATTTATCGAAGGGATGCAAGGATTTTTCAGTAACTGCAAATCAGTGTGATACTCCATGTTTACAAACTGAAAAATAAAACCATATGTTCATGCTCACTTTGGCAGCACATATGCTAAAATTAGAATGATACAGAGAACATTAGCATGGCCCCTGTGCAAGGATGAAATGGAAATTCATAAAGCATTTCATATTTTTAACAGACATAAAGGGAGAAATTGATAGGAATACAATAATACTAGGAGAATTTAACACCCTACTGACATCAATAGACAGATCTTCCAGACAGAGAATCCATAAGGCAACAGAGATACTAAATGATACACTAGAACAGTTAGATTTGAGATTTTTAGGAAATTACATCCAAAAAAACCAGAATACACATTCTTTTTGGTACACGTGGAACATTCTCTAGGATTGAACACATACTAGGGCACAAAACAATGCTCAGCAAATTTAAGAGTATAGAAATTATCTCAAGCATCTTTTCCAACCACAACAGCATGAAACTAGAAATTAATGACAGAAAAAGAAATGAGGAAAAACAATTACACAGAGACTAAAAAACATGCTACTAAAAAACCAATGGGTCAATGATGAAATCAAAGAGGAAATTAAAAAATACTCAGAGACAAATGACAATGAACACACAAAATCTGTGGGATACAGAAAAGCAGTTCTTAGAGGGAAGTTCATAATAATACAGGCCGTCCTCAAAAAAATAAGAAAAATCTCAAATAAACAACCTAACCTACCACTTAAAAGAATTAGAAAAAGAAGAAGAAACAAAACGTAAAGTCAGCAGAAGGAAGGAAATAATAAAGATCAGAGAGGAAATAAATAAAGTAGAAATTTAAAAAAATAGAAAAATTCAATAAAACCAAGATCTGGCTCTTTGAAAGGATAAGCAAGATTGACAAATCTCTGGCTTGGCTCCCCAAGAAGAAAAAAGCGAGAGAACCCAAATAAACAAAATGAGAAATGGAAAAGGAGACATAACAACAGATACTGCAGAAATATAAAAAACCTTAAGGGAATACTATGAACAATTATATTAAAACAAATTCAACAATCTATAAAAAACGGACAAGTTTCTAGAAACATACAGTGCACCAAAATTGAATGACAAAGGAATTAGATAATTTGAACAGACTGATCACTAGAAGTGAAATAGAATCTGTAATTTTAAAAATCCCTACAAACAAAAGTCCAGGACCAGATGGCTTCACAGGCAAATGCTGCCAAACATACAAGGAAGAAGGCATACCAATCCTTCTCAAACTCGTCCAAAAAACTGAAGAGAAGGGAACACTCCCAAAGACATTCTATGAAGCCACCATCTCCCTGATACGAAAACCAGACAAAGACACCACCAAAAAAGAAAATTGCAGGCCAATATCTTTGATGAACATAGATGCAAAAGTTCTCAACAAAATATTAGCAAACTGTATCCAACAACCCATAAAAAAGATCATACACCACAATCAAGTGGAATTCTTTCTAAGTTCACAAGGATGGTTCAACATACACAAATCAATCAACATGATACACCACATCAAAAAAAAAAAGAAAAGACAAAAAACACATGATCATCTGAATAGATGCAGAAAAAGCATTTGACTAAATTCAACATCCAATCATCATAAAAACTCTTATCAAAGTCAGTATAGAGGGAACATATCTCAAAATAGTAAAAGCTATTTATGACAAACCCACAGCCAATATAATACTCAATGGTGAAACATTGAAAGCCTTCCTGCTAAAATCTGGAACAAGACAAGAATGCTCACTCTCATCTCTTCTATTCAACATAGTATTGGAAGTCCTGGCCACAGCAATGACACAAGAAAAAGAAATAAAACATATCCAAATTGGAAGGAAAGAGGTAAAACTGTTATTATATGCAGATGATATGATTCTATGTATAGAAAACCCTAAAGACTTCACACAAAAAGTACTAGAACTGATAAACGAATTCAGCAAGGTAGCAGGATACAATATTAACATACAGAAATTAGTTACATTTCTTTACACCAACAATGAAATATCAGAAAGGGAATGCTAAAAAAATAATAACTTTTAAAATCACAACCCCAAAAATAAAATAAATAGGAATAAACCTCACCAAGGAGGTGAAAGACATATGTTGAGAACTATAAAATATTAATAAAGAAAATTGAAGATGATTCAAAGAAATGGAAAGACATCCCATGCTCTTGGATTGGAAGAATTAATATTGTTAAAACAGCCATACTACCCAAAGCAATCTACAGTTTAACGTGATCCCTGTCAAATTACCCATGACATTTTTCATAGAACTAGACCAAATTATCGTATAATTCATATGGAACCATAAAGGACCCAGAATTACCAAATCAATCCAGAAGAAAAAGAACAAACCAGGAGCATAACCATCCCAAACTTCAGACAATACTACAAAGCTACAGTAATCAAAGCAGCATGGTACTGACACAAAAACAGACATATGGAGCAACAGAACAGAATAGAGAGCCCAGAAATAAACCCACACATCCACAGTAAATTAATCTTTGGCAAAAGAGGCAAGAATATACAATGGGAAAAAGACAGTATTTTCAGCAGGTGGCGCTGGGAAAGTTGGACAGCCACATGTAACTCAATGAAGTTAGAACACACCTTCTTACCATACACAGAAATAAACTCAAAATGGCTTAAAAACTTAAATATAAGACCTAACACCATAAAAATCCTAGAAGAGAACATGGGCAAAACATTCTCTGACATAAATCGTACCAATGTTTTCTTAGGTCAGTCTCCCAAGGCAAAAGAAATAAAAACAAAAATAAACAAATGGGATATAATCAGACTTACAAGCTTTTGTGCAGGAAACCATAAACAAAATGAAAAGACAACCCACAGAATAAAAGAAATTATTTTTAAATGATGTGACTGACAAAGGATTAATCTCCAAAATATACAAACAGCTCATGCAGCTCTATATAAAAAAAAACAACCCAATCAAAAAAGAGGCAGATCTAAATAGACATTTCTCCAAAGAAAACACACAGATGGCCAAGAAGCACATAAAAAGATGCTTAACATAGCTAATTATTAGAGAAATGCAAATCAGAACTACAATGAGGTATCATCTCACACTAGTCAGATGGCCATCATTAAAACCTCTACAAACAATAAATTCTGGAGAGGGTATGGAGAAAAGGGAACCCTCCTACACTGTTGGTGGGAATGTAAATTGGTGCAGCCACTATGGAAAACAGTATGAAGTTTCCTCAGAAAACTAAAAATAGAGCTGTCATATGATCCAGCAATCCCACTCCTAGGCATATATCTGGAGAAAACCACACTTTGAAAAGATACATGCACCCCTATGTTCACAAAAGCACTATTCATAATAGCCAAGACATGGAAACAACCTAAATGTCCATCGACAGATGAATGGATAAGAAGATGTGGTACATATATACAATAGAATATTACTCAGCCATCAAAAACAATGAAATAATGCCATTTGCAGCAACATGGATGAACCTAGAGATTATCATATTATGTAAAGTAAGTCAGAAAGAGAAAGACAAGTACCATATGATATCAATTATATGTGGAATCTAAAATACGACCAAAATGAACGTATCTGTTAAACAGAAACAGAATGACAGACTAAGAGAATGGACTGGTGGTTGCCAAGGGGGAGGAGAGTGGGATAAGGATGGATTGGGATTTGGGGATTAGCAGATGCAAACTGGCATATTTAGAATGGATAAAAAACAAGGTCCCACTGTCTCACAGAGGGAATTATATCCAATCTCCTGTGGTAAACTATAATGGAAAAGAATATGAAAAAGAATGTGTGTGTGTGTATATATATATATATATATATATATATATATATATATATATACATATAAAATGAAGTCACTTTGCTGTACAGCAGAAATTAACACAACATTGTAAATCAACTACACTTCAATTAAACAAAAAGAAAGAAACCCCATATTATCATCTCAATAGATGCAGAGAAAGCTTTTGACAAAATTCAACATCCATTTATGATAAAAACTCTCCAGAAAGTGCATTGAGGGAACATACCTCAACATGATAAAGGCAATATATGATAAACCCAGAGCTAACATCATACTCAATGGTGAAAAGCTGAAAGCATCTCCTCTAAGATCAGGAACAAGATAAGTATGTCCATTCTCACCACTTTTATTCAACATAGTTCTGGAAGTCCTAGCCATAGCAATCCAAGAAGAAAAAGAAATAAAACAAGTCAAAATTGGAAAAGAAGTAAAACTGTCACTGTTTGCAGATGACATGATACTATACATAGAAAATCCTAAAGATGCTACCAGAAAACTACTAGAGCTCATC